GAGAGAGAGAGAGAGAGAGAGAGAGAGAGAGAGAGTGAGTCAGTGAGGGAACGTAAAAATTGAATGTGTAAGGTACGAAATTGTGTGTGCATATGTGCGTACGAGTGCGTGCGTGAACACGTGCGTGCAAGTACTTTTCTCTGTCTACAAGTCTGGGTATACGTCTTGTCTGTTTCAGCGTGCGTGCGTACGTGTTTACTGGGTCCAAACGTCGAGAATGAAGCCCCGAGAAATACATATAAACTTTCAAGGCCACAGTGATAAAAAAATGTTTTGTTGACTGATTTGCCAAATTTACGACCCAATTTGAGCCATGAAATGCTTACACATCTTACATAACACAACCATGCGTCACGAACAAGAACTGGCAGATATTGCAACAAACGTTTAACATTAGCAGACTTTTCGTTGGACCGACAGACTATTTTGCAATCTGCAATCCGATAATTAACGACCGCAATATACCATAAACTCGAAAATTCACTGTACTCCTTCACCCATATCACCTTTCGACTATGTGTTCTGAGAAGAGGAAAGAAAACTTGGGCAGAAATAATGTACTTTTGTAAACCAATCGAGTGATACATTTTCCTATAAATAATTAAACTGAAACTGCCTGTCTATGGTATTAGCTTTTTAGCGACAGAGCACCGAAGCGCACTTTTCTCCTAGGCTTACTGTCTCCCTGGGAAATTATAAGCTTTCTTAGCCGCTTTCACTCCGGAGAGAACATAGAAGTGGTTCAAGAGAAGTTTCTCGCTTTAGGTAAAACTTTCCACATCATTCTAGGATGTCTTAGAATTACCTATCTGGGTCTCTGAGGAAAAACTTGTCTGAGTAATATTAACCTGTGTTATCTTAAGAACGAGTTTTTTCACCCAACTCACATCTCCCTCTAGTCACCTGAGGGAGAAATGGCGAGAGGAGAGAATGCTGTATACAAGAGAAGTCAGAAAAGTCGCCGCATATCGAAATCCACCTTAGAGCCACTTTGTGGATATTGACAGGTCATGGTCTGGTGAGGTCTCATGCAACATGCTCCGATGCTTGTTCGTCCATAGAATGGCTGGCAGGTCCGGTGATAGGCTAGGCGCGGTCACCGACAGGCGCCTTGTGCTCCGCCGCCATTTGCTCACTTGCGGAGCCCACAGACGCCTGCCTGGGGACGCAATGAAGGGTGTCACTCATCAGGGCGGCGGATCCATTTGGTTACGGACATTGTTCTTGAATTTTTATATTCGTTTGTTTAAATGTCTCTGTGATTGTGTGTTTGCGATTGCACACGCACGACAGCACAATGCACATACAACAGCTATCACTAAACATCACACACACTTCTCAGTATATTAGTGCGTGTGTGGTGTTTATGTAGTACGAGCATATGTAGTTGTGTATCGAATGTGTTTATGTGTGTGTGTCGTGTACACGATGAGTGTACGAGTATGTATGTTGTGGTTGTGTATATCTTTTCCTCTTCTAGCTGTTGTCAGGAGTATGTAACTGACATAGTTGGTCGTGATAACAGTAGTAGTTGAGTGATCGAGATCAATAATGTGATATAAAGTAGTGTGTTGCTGGTCAGTTATATCTAGTGATCGGGGCAATCTCAACCAGAGTTTGAGTGGTCCCGATAAGTGTGTGAGATGGTGTGTTAGGTTGTGCTTGTCGGGTCGCTGAAATGTGTGTCGGAGAAATGTGTTCGTGTGTATGATATACGTATGTTATAATATATATAAACGTTGTTGTATCATATAAATTAGATATTCTTGCCAGTATCTTTAGTTGTATGACGCTAAATAGTGAGATATATTATGTATGTTATTTAGGTATAATATAGATAATGGTAGCAATTATTTTCAATTAGAGATTACTATAAATATATTTGAGGTAAGTCTGTTATTAAATTATTATGGCAAAATCGTTACAACATAAAACTATTTATTTTTATCATCATTATAGTTGGCTACTTCTGATATAAGCTATTATTATATGTATAATTTTCATCGATGAGCTTATACTACATATTCATCTGAACGTTTGGTACCCCAGCATATAAAGCACTGATACGCACTAGCAACGCTGGATATAAACAGACAATGACGATATACATATATACCATACATAGTAACTATTGAGTATAATTAAATGATATATCAAGTAAGTAAAAGTATTATGCACCATATAGTATATACCACGTGATTCCTACTATATAACTATAATACATATATATGACTAAATCGTTATACGTATCACACGATAATTAATAGCCAAAACATGCTGAACGACATTGGGTCTGTTCGTATTGCTGTGTGTGTTGTGTGTGATGCTGTAGCTCGCTGTGTGTAGTGTGTGATGTGTTGTGTCGATGATGTCGTGTTGTTCGTGTTGATGTGGCTGTGTGTGTGTGTTGTGTGTGTCGTCGCTGTGTGTGTGATGTGTGTGTGTGTACCATCCGCGCGCGCTGTGGTGAATGTGCGTGCGTGTCATGTATTGCCACTAC